AATACTCTTGACTACACTTTATGAAATGTCCGGCTCACGCAAATGGCATGGTGCACTCGCATGTGTGCTTTGGGCAAGTGTGATTGCATGCTTTTTGACAACAGGGACAACAAGACATGGAGGTTTGCGGTGACCCACTTGTTGAACTCTCCTTGGACTCGTCGGAATCCGATCACGTTCTCCAAGAGGGCAACCTTGTCATTGCAATCTGTTGTTCTTCAATGCATGGTGCTTCTTTGGTGCTGCTTCTCACTTTGAAGCCAAGAAGCTGCCGGCTGAGCAGACACAATGTTCTGCAGGACTTTGAACATCTGCTGGGCATCTGCTTCTTCTAGAAGTTGTGAGCCATGATGCAACAATGAGAAAGGCGTACAAGGAAAGCCAGCGCAATACACAGCCACCTCCGAAAAAGCATGTCCAGTTTTTTTCAGCAGGAGGGGATGGACATGTCAAAAAACTGCAACAAACCCCAGGCACCTTCTTACATAATTTCTTGTACTTCGTGTTGAAGATGTTCCTGTATGACCTGATGTACATGGGCTTGCGATTGTGCATGAGCTTCTTTTGCGTTTTCAAACGTGCCAAATGTGCTTTCCAGTGCAGTCCAGCAGCCCAAAACAGGATTTGGATGGTTCTTGTCCAAGTACTTCCTGGCAGCCTCATCCCGCTCACTGTTGCACCTGAGTCTGTCCCCACACAACCCTCACCATCCTAATTTCCAAGCTGACTTTGAGGTGTTCGCAAATAGTTGCTCCGAGGCACAGGTAGGTCAGCAGATCTCGCTTGCCAGATGGAAAAAGCAATTTCAGGGCAGTGAGTGGGGTATCCATTCCGCTACCTCGGGCTGAAAAATATGGATTGTTCAAATCAGAAATACCGGGACCTGTCAACATTGAAAGCGGTTAAGTGGCAGTCGGACGCATAGCCGAAAGAGCTATGCCACTGCTTGAACCACCAATCCAAGCCTCAGCCATAGTAAGATGGTTGGGAACCAGAGCCCTTATCAACATGTTGGAAACCTTTACAAGTAGAAGAAGCACGCAGCATGACAAGGGGCCAGCTGCAGATCGAAAGTGGTCACCACAGTAGATATAGTCGTACTGCTCCACTGTGAGGGATACTATGTCCTCCTCCCAAGGATCATCATCAAGTGCATCCTATATCCTAACCAAAAAAGCTCTACTTTCCGCGGTTCTCCTCCACATCAGATTCGGGAAACCGCCACACAGGCATGGCGGCACACGAGGCGCCCCACACAGAGCCCCAATGCCAACTGATAGCAGGCAAACTTAAGACCCAGATCCCAATTGCAAAAGACCCAGTTGCAATCGCAAGTTCATTTAAATCAATCTTAGTTGTCATACTTGGGAAAGGGAGCAGTGTGGGAATTGTAGTTCTTGTAGTTTCTTGTTTGCTTGTTGGGTTGCGCCCTCATCCATGTAGGTACCATCTCGAAAGTTATGCCTACATCGACTTTCCTAGCCTTTTCGTATAAGTCCCTCACCGAACCGAAGCCCTCCTCCACGTCGTAATATATTCTTTCCAATACCTTTCCTTTTTCCAATCTTGCCATTAAAGATATTTAGATATAATTCTATGATATTGTCTTGTATCATAAAATCATAGTGAACTCAAACAAAGAACCTCTGGCACTTCTTCGTTTTCTTGTGTTTTGCCAAGTTTGATTTGCAACTTAAGTCAGAGCCGCATATATCGCATACGCACGGTTGTTTCGTTTTCTCTTGGTAATATCTTTGGAAATACTTTTCGTCGTTCGGTTTCCTGTTGTAGTATCCGTCGTCCTGCTTCCTCCATTCAGCATTGGTGTTCTTATTAACGGATGAGTTTGCTTTGTAGCTTTCTTCCGATGAAGATGTTTCGCTGTCAGTCAGTTCTCTGTTTCCAAAACCGTTCCAAATAAAGTCGAAGGTTTCATTCGTCATGGGGATTTCAATTCCATTACTTACAAAGTAACAAGGCATATTGTGTATATATAGTTAGCTATATATCTTAATTTTTGTTTAAGTATATTTATACTATGTATATCAATTTGTGCTTCTGGCATCTTATGAAAGTACCTAACACAAAACAGGTTCAATATCAAAGTTTGCAGGTTTACCCTTCCAACTTCCCACTAGTTGACTTATTTTTAGTGACACCCAAACCCAAACATGCTTGGTGTTCAAAACAGTGAGACTTGAGCTTTGTCGCAAGCCAATCCAAAAACCAAACCAATTTCCCTCAAACCGAGCCGGTTTTTCACCAAAACGGAACCATTTTGCCCCAAAGACTCCCAAAAACGGAGCCTGTTCTCCCCCAAAACGGAGCATGTTTTTCCCAACATGGAACCGGTTTTTCCCGCAACCAAAGCACGTTTTTCCGAAAAAACGGCACATGTCTTTACCAATGTTTTTTCCCGAAAACGGAGTTTCACAAAACGGGCGGCAGATTTCTCCAAAGCTGGTCGCAGAATCGATGACCGATTGACCCAAAATCGGTAACGGATTTCCACAAAGTAGGTTTCTGATTTTCTCAAAGTCGGTGACAGATTTCCACAAAATCGGTCGAAAAAACGCTGGTAGGTTACAGTCTATTCTCCGCCGAGCCCAGCCATTCTTTCCCAAAAACAGAACCAGTTTTTCTCAATCCGTGGCAGATTCCGAAAATGCACCATAGTAGTTTCCTCCACAAAAAACATGTTTGTAGAGAAATTGCTTCAGTTTTGCAGAGTTTCATATCGAAATTTGTCTTCTTGAAACCAAACTAGTTGTCATGAGAAGCTCAACAGAGCAAAAACAATGAATTGTCCAAACTATTTGGTCAGAATACTACTCATCTTGCGGAATTATTTATCCGTTGTTCATGTTCTGTTTGAACATGGAACTTGCCTAGTGGATTGCTGAACACGCGTGCAGCGACAAGTGCAAAGTAAGAAAATGCTATACAAGTGTGCAAACATCCAACACATTCGTGTAGTTTCAATTGCAATGCATCTTTGCAAATGCAAAGGATACAATTTTGTTTGTCCTTTACATCACCGCTTTGCCAATTGCGCGCAGGATTGACACATGAACCTTACTCTTGCCTAAAGTGTGATTGAACAAATTTCTTTGTTTGTGGCCTGGCTTGCAGCAAAATTTCGGTGAGAGGGATTTGTCTAGAGAAATACCTTCACACCATGGCTATGGGTGAATTGCATTCAATTGCTTGCATAGACATTCTAAGTCCCATCAATCGTTCAAACATCGAAAGTAGATGCGTATATTTTTCAGGTGTAGCGGTTGAGACATCCCTGAGCAGAAGTCTTTTTCACTTGAACAGTCAAAACTCAAAACTGTTGCACGTAGCCTCTGCGCCAAAAATGGCAAAGCGACAGCGAAAACGTGGAATGGCGGAGCCACAGGCAAAAGCAAAACCTAAATCAGCGCCGGCTCCCTCATTGCCTTCCGAATGGGGATCAAGATACCCTCGTATCGCGATTCTCTTTGGGATTGTGGCAGTCTCAGGATCTTGGCTTTCAGCACATTGGAGTCCAACCGTTGTTTGGAGATGCTTTGATCGCATAAATGAATGGCGGCGTGATGCTGGGCTGTGGCCGGCAGTCGAGATGATGGCTGCCGAATGTTTTTTCTCGGACAGCATTCCTCTGGTCTCGGCTACTCTGCAGCATGGCAAAACTTTGCCAGAGCTATATAGACACTATGAAAAAGAGACTGCTCAGCATGGGCTCATGCTTCAGACTGCCAAGCTGCCAGGTGTGCATGCATTTTATGCTGAAGCTGGCATGGGCAAGTCAACAGTGGCGGCAGCGGTGCTTCAAGAGTTGTACCGTCAAGGTGTGCCTGCTGCTTTTGTGGTTTTCGAGATGCCAGGAGAGCTGAAACGACAGGTGGCAACTTCCCTCCAAACCACCTCTGACAAGCTGTCAGATGACCTTACTGGGGCTTTGGTCAAGTTGCGAAAGCGTGGTTCCCGTGAAGTTGTAGTGGTGATTGATGCCATCGATGAACATGATTTGACTGACATGGATACAGAGACACTCAAACTGCTCGCAGGGGTGTCCTGGATGTCTCGTGGGTTTGAGCTTCCTGTGTTCTTTTCTGTGATTTGCTTGATGCGTACGCTGGAAACAAAGCAACGCTTCGAAAAGATGAATGGCGGACACAAGATCACAGGTGGTATAGCAACAGAGCCTTGTCCTCCAGTGTCTCCCGGCACTCTTCAAAGCTACGCAAGTCAGCTGCAACTTGCAAATGACGACTACAAGAAGTGGACAGACAAAGCGCCATACTTGATTGTCTTAAGGCATTTTGCCGAGGGCAAGTACAACATGTCGAAGGTAGTGGAACATTTTGAGGCAGTGTGCTACACAGGCTTGGTGGGAGAGCGTTACAATATTTGAGTTGTCAAAGTAAAAATCCTTTGCAAAAAATCTACCTCCTCCCTGCAAGGTGGTGCTGGGACTGCACCACCAGCTGTTTGGGTGAGACAAATCCGCAAGGACTGCAGAGAAGTGCATTCAATGACTGTGTAAAAACATTTTGTTTCAGCAAAGTCGTTGCTCTGACCAAAGCAGTGCAGTGATGACTTTCGGACAGTTCGGTTGAAGATTATTATCGCCGTTCGTTCAGGTTCATGCTCTTTTCCCGCAAATAAGGCGTGATGAAGGGTAAGTCCACTGTGCAAGATAATACACTGTTATGCTACGAACTTGGCAGGGTTCAGGACTTTTAGGGAGAAGATTGCAGGGTCGTTCATTCCTCAGGATTTATGAAATATATATTCTAATAATCTTCCTCAAGGGCCATTCCCAGCTCAAACTCGAGA